TTAGAGGGGTCTGCTTGACTTCAGCTCCCCATCTGCAGCTTAGCAGAAGGGAGATAGGGGAGGGACTGATCCGATCCCCCTACAGCTCTCACACACGCACCCTCGTGCTGATGTGGGTCTGGCTGGTGGGAAGGCGTAAGCCTCACACAGCATTTCAGGAGCGCTCCCAATTGCAGTAGGCTCCTGTGTACCCTGTTAGTGTAATCGAGAGAGGCAGGTGGCATGGATTTAATTTAGTGCCACAGACCCAGCCTCCACTTAGTGTTTGTTGCTAAGAGATAAAAACTCAGGGTGGGTGGTCAGAGGAAAAATCTCTGGTGTGTGCCAGGAGAGTTAAAACAGGAGCACTTGGGTTTTCTGTTAGTTCACACAATGCTCATCCTTGCCCTATGCCACCGTAGCTAGGAGATCAGAGAGAGTGCAATATTTCCTTTGACTTGGAGGTGAAGAAATAAAAACCAATGTTGTGTATTTCAAATATATAAATATATATATAAAAAGATACAGATTGACATTTATATTTTTAATTGTGTCTGTTAGACTATTTGCGGATTTCTCTTTCCGATACTGCCTTGCACTCCGCTCTCTGCTGTTGTCACCTTTGCTGTCGCTTTAAGGAAGAGATGGACAGGTATTGGCAAAGAACAAGACTGTTTTATTAAAGCCTTCATCCAATATTCTGTTTGAAAACAAACGCAGTGTAATTATTTCTCTAGTTTCTTGAATAGAACAAGTTGAATTTAAAAGACAGTGATTCCGTGTCCAGTTTGTCCTGAACACTTCCATGCCCTGGCCTAGGCTGCTGGATGTTCAAGTGCCTCGTGGCCTCACCCCATGAGAGGCTCCTCGCAAACACATCATGGAAAGGAAAACAAGTCTCTGCATGAATTTCCTGTAGTGTAAATACATTCTCTGAGCTGTGAAGGGTAATACAAGTACTTAGCATGTGTATAATGCCTTTTCAGCTGGAGGTCAGCAAGCACCTCACAGTGGTGAGTATCATTAGCCCTTTTCCAGATGTGGAAACTAAGGGAAAGAGGCCCAATTTTTAAAGGTATTCAGGGGCCTAAAGATGTGGGTTGGTGCCCAGGGGGCTTTTCAAGAGTGCGTAAGGGCTTGTCTACATGTAAAACGCTGCAGCAGCACAGCTGACTTTCTCCTGCTGGCATAAGTAATCCATCTCCCTGAGAAGAGGTAGCTAGCTCGATGGAAGAATGAGTCAGTTGACCTAGCATTGGCTACATGGGGACTTTTAGTCCAGCTTCACTCACTGTTCAGGGGTGTGGATTTTTTACATGTGACTCCAATGTGGGTAACTGGACCTAATTTTCTAGTGTAGACCAGGTGTAAGTGACTTACCCCAGGCTTACTTAGCTGGAAATAAAATCCAAAAGGGCTTGACTCCCAGCAATCTTCTTCATCCACTGGACCAGAGCCCTGGTGGGTTTCACTGTCATGAACATCACCCAGTCCCAAATTCAGTGGTGGTGTAAATGAAGTGGGAGTTGGTCATACTCTACCTAGAAGCAGAAAAGGAGCGTAGCTTGTACAGCTTGCCTGCTCTTGGGAGCGTGGGAAACAAGTGAAATGTACACCCATTTGGCATGTCACCCTACTATAGGTGGGTGCAGCTGTGCTGAGCTCGGGGGCAGGGATGACCATTTACACCAGGTCTGAATTTGTGCTTAAGAATGTCAAGACGGATGCAGCCACAATTAAAGTGTGGGTCTCATGCAACGCTGCCTTAACAGTTGTGCAAAGTGGGTGTATACATCACCAGACCAGAGGGGGGAGGGGGACAGTTTACTTGTTAAAGCACATGCCTAGGAGTTGGGAAACCTGGGTTCAAGTCCCTGTTCTGTCTCAGACTCCCCCTGTGACGTTGTGCACATCACTTAGACGATCTGGGCCTAAGGTATTTAGGCTTCTAACTCCCATTGACTTCAATGATCTGGGCCTTAGTCTTGCTGGGTCTCCCTCCCCCAGCCCCAAAATAGGGATATAGCACTGGCCAATCTCAAAGGGTGGGGTGGGGTTGTGAGGTGCTTATGTAATGAGGAACTATACAGTACCTAAAATGGGGTCACATATACTTTGCACAGGTGTAAAGAGGTAGAGCAGGGCCCCAGCCCTCAGATCACTTCTCCAGGCTCCAGCCACTAGTTTTCCCATCTCCAAAAGGCCCAGCAAACTTTGCAGAGCTTTGGCTTTTTCCCTGTCCGCTCTTTCTTCCCAAATCTAGCCTCCACCAGTTCACCCTTGGGAAGAAGGAAAGGTTTCCTCTGAGACTGAGGTTCATACCCCAGACTCAGGCGGTAGGATGGCTCACAAGGGCTGGGAAGAGCTGCTCAAGAACATTTGTTCCTGCACAGTTCCCACATTGCAGGCTGCAGTGGCCTTGGAGAGCCTTGGTCACATTGTCCTAGTCCTACCGCCTTGGTGGTCCCAGCAGCTTCGACAGCTATCTCCATTGAAAAGAGCCTGTAAAGCCGCTGGAAACAAGGAGGGACTAATGTAGCTCCCTCTCAAATGGGCTACTGTGAAGAAAGGGAAACAGGAATCAGCCACTACCAAGGAACATCTAGGGGGAAAACGAATAGAGTAGCATGATCCAGGGACTAAGGGGAGCAGAAGATGAGATGGCTGGGCAGTGGATACTGGGGAGAATGGCACCAGCGAGCAAGAACATATGGATAAGGGACAAGGAGGAGAAGGGGAACAGGCCCCACAGAAGCATGAGCAGGGGAGCGAGAGGAATAAAAGAATGGAGAGCAGTTAATATTTCCAAGCAAGGCAAAACACTCATTGCATTGGAGACTGTTAAATGAATTAGAGCCATCACATGGCAAAGTAATCGCATTAGATGCCATAGGGATACGATGGCACCAGAAGTGTTCAGAAGGAAACGTTCCTTAGGTTTAGTCCCTCCCCCCTTGGAAAAGTTTGAGCCCCTGTGCTATGCAACTCAAACACACTCAGGAACAGACTGATTGCACAGGTCTCCCTCCGTGCCAGGGAAAAGGCCCTTGCTGCTGTCCACTCGTCAGTACTAGCAACACTGCAAACAGCCTCTGCTACCCCTGTTGCCTATGGGTATGTCTACAGTGCAGAAGTGTAGACACTCAGGCTTGGGCTAGGACCCTGTGAAGTGGGAGGGTCCCAGAGCTTGGGCTGCCAACTTTCTACGCCGCAATTAAACAGCCCCTTAGCCCAAGTCAGCAGGCACGGGCCAGCCCCAGGTGACTAACTGCAGTGTAGACATACCCAAAGAGACACCAGCAGCATTTTTATCATGCTAGTGGTCTGACCTCTATGTTCCATTTGTTGGCATGCAAGGGCCTGCTTGCTCTTCTCTGAGGGCTGTCTGAGATCCTGAAAGATCAGGCTGTCTGCACTTTCCTTTAAGTGACATCCCTAGCTTCCCTCTAATAGGCCAAAGAGCCCTGTAGATTAATTTGACTGCTGGTTTTCCTGCCTCTGTTGCTACCTCAAGAACGGTGCTGACTGAGTCACAGAAAAATGCAAATGCAAGACAATAAATGGTTTGTTGTTTCTGTAGAATTACTCCCACCTCATGTATGGCTGCTCCTGGACTCCTCGGCCCATAGTACCTTTCATTACTTATACCATGAATATAAACACCAAGGAGAGAGCAAAATTATGTAGTGTCTCACAAAGAAACAGGAAGGAATTAAGGCTATGGGGGCAAACTTGTTACCATTAACTTGTGGAAGGGTCTGTGTGAAGTGGGTGAAGCTTTGTTTGAGTCATTTACAATTAGACAAAACAGAAATCAGGCTCCAGGGAACATTCAAACTGGCTGAGGATGTTTGAGCAGTAGACTAGAGGATCTCATATGCAGTTCTAATACTGACAGTTTCTGAAAACTAATTTCTCTGAAACAGAAGGTCAGTAAGTTCCTTTTCTGATGACTCTTGCCACAGGCAATATAACATTAGTAATTATCTGTGATCATTGTTAATCAACCAGGCTTCAGCAGGAACCCAGTCCCTCTATTCTCTGTAATTAATACATTACACATTCCAGTTTAATAATGGTTACTTCCAAGCTAGAGAAGGTTTTTGCGAAGTTAAAACTAAAAATCCTTTGGAAATAATGTTCATTTGTAGTATCTGTACAGGATCAGTGTAATTTGTGCCCAGAGACAAGGGGCTGCAGAGGGTCACAGGTGTAGATTTGAGGGCACCTCTTTCCTATAACATGTGGTTAGGTGGACAGGCCATTTCATTCTCACAAGAGGAAGAGAAAGATCCCCCCCAACCTTTCTCTCGCCACAGATATGCTCCTGCATGATCTGCAGAAATAAAATGGTATTTGCTTGTGTCAAAGCCACACACACAATCTGCACACCTGGTCAGCGGCAGAGGCCGCTGTAGCAGCAGAGGGAGCAGTAGTGGCACAGCAACAGGCAAAGAAAGAAACTGCCTTTCACCATTCTAAAGGGATGGAGGATGCCAGCTGTCACGAACAAAGACATTTTCAGACAGGGATCTAGTTAGAGGCTGTACATTATGCAACAGCAACCTGCAGGAATTTTCTGCAACAATCTGCTCAGTTCTTTCATAAATCTTCATGAGCATCCCCCCAAAAAATTAACTCTGAACATCAGGGGCATAGTCTTCCACTCAGAAATGATGCAGGTGTAATAAAATAAATCTCAGCCAATGTGCCATAGAACTTCAGGTTGCAATTTCAAGCGATGGACAGGTTACATTTGGCCTCCTAAACTATTTTCAAGAGTTATAAGCAACTAGAACAAACCAAAATAACTAAAGCATTTCCCTGCAGCATTTGCAACTCAAACACTGCAGCACTGGGCTGGGGTTTTTCGCCTTCCTCTGCAGCGTGGGGCACAGGTCACTTGCTGGAGGATTCTCTGCACCTTCAAGTCTTTAAACCACAAGTTGAGGACTTCAATAGCTCAGACATAGGTCAGGGTTTGTTACAGGAGTGGGTGGGTGAGATTCTGTGGCCTGCGTTGTGCAGGAGGTCAGACTAGATGATCATAATGGTCCCTTCTGACCTTAAAGTCTATGATTCTATGGTACATGAGAAGTGGGAAGAAAAATTGCCTAGTCAAATATCCCTCATCAGACTTGAGAGAAATAATTGCCAACCGCCATAGTGAAAAGTAAATTAGATTTTTAAGATTATTGCAGTTTTAATCATGAGGCATATTTAGTAACAAGTGAAAAAGTGAAAGTGCCATTAATAATGAATTTGAAAAGGGAAGCCAAAAGTCTCATCTAAACCAGGACACAAAGAAAGGAGCTCAATATGGGAATGCAGGGAAAAGTCAGGTTTTCACAGCTATTGTCAGTTTTAATTTTTTTCTGAAGGTTTTTTTTATTATTAATTATTAATGCATTGGTGATTTAATTACAGTTATATTAACACCAACGTGTGCACGCTTGATTTAAATGTAGTTGATGTTGGAAATAACCAAATGTTATTACAGGATGGTGGTTCAGTATCCCCCTTGGAGGATCTTCAAGCTTCTCTACACAGTGGTTTAGTCCACACCAGAGGGGTGTAAATTCTAGTGCACACTAAAGTTTACTGTAGTGCGTACCAATGCACGGTGTAGTCAGGGCCATAGTCCACCTCACAGAGGGTAAGTGCTTGTCACAGAATCCACTACCACAGTTGGCATTAACTGCTAACATAAGCCTGACCTATGCAGCAGGAACATTGCACCTGTACAGAGCCCTACGGAAGTCAGGGAGGCTGTCCTGCATGAATCCAGTTGCAGAATTGGAGACTTCGTTGATAATCTCAGCATGAGGCCTAGAACTAAACATGCCATTTGCAAAGCAACCTAGAGGAAGCTTACACCTACTCTACACCATCTGATACCAGCTGGAGGGATACAGGGAAGATTGCAGGCCCCGGGGCCGCTTCCCTAACAGCCCTAGTGAAAGCTAAGTTTTGTTAGACTTTTGTAAAGTTTACCTGACAACTCTGAAAGTCTTTCTGGTTTCCCATTCCAGTGGAGAGGGATTTCCTGTGTCCGTCTGCTGTAGTATTATGGAGCCATGGTAGCAACTATGTTAGTCTGTCAGCAACCCTTTAGCAACATGCCAGAGGAGAGGAGCTCTAGAAGGATATGCGGAGACCAGGCATCTAAAGGTCGCTCAAGAAGACAGTGTTCTCAGTACTATGAACTGGTTTAGCTATTCCTCAGGCATTTTCCTGAAACTCTGCTGCAGTCCAGTCTAAAAAGCATTTACACAGCAGCAACCTCCCAGGGAGCTTTGCAGCGATCAGAAGGCACAGTAAGTGCATTTGATCTGGGGACAGGGCGTCGTCTGCTTACGCTGTTTGATCCAGACTTTCTGCTGCTCTTTTGAAGGAATTGAAGGCTTTGTGCAGAGCTGTGTGGCGGAACAAGTTTGAATGAGCTGCTGTCTTCTCCACCAGAGAGTCAGAAACATCCCCTGCTTCAGAGAGAAACCAGCAAATCAGTGTAGCTGAAAGGAACTTAGCATTACCCCTAACATAAAACTCCTTGCTTCTGATTTCTCTCCTCCCCACCTCTGCACACGTTGGGAGTCCCATCTGGTTTCATCTGTTACCCTCCCTTCCCCCTCTGTTCCCCCTTCCTTACTCTCTCCACTCCCTGTCTCCCCTGACAAGCAGCTGCTCTGAGTGGGTGTCTCTCCCAGCACTGGAGAGGAAATGGCTCCAGGCCCACTTTTTCCTGGCATTGAGACAGCCTGGGTAGGGTTGCCACCTTTCTAATTGCTGGTAACTGGACACCTGAGGCCCCGCCCCTGCTCCACCTCTTTCCCCCCCAAGGACCCGCCCCTGCTCCGCCTCTTTCCCCCCCAAGGACCCGCCCGTCACATGCTCCTCTCCCCATTGCTGGCAGGAGCCTGCCTGCAGGTAGAAAGCAGCCCCAGCTGAGCAGGATCTTTAATGACACGATACCTCCCCATGCCCCACGGTAACTGGACTTTGGTTCGGGTGCCATTTAGGTTGCCAGGTCCCCTTTTCGACCGGACTTTCCAGTCGGAAACCGGGCACCTGGCAACCCTAAATGGCACCCAGACACAGAAGCCAAAAATTGGACCGTCCGGGTAAAACCTAGATGGGTGGCAACCCTAGTGACGGCACAGGGTTTGCAAACGTGAGGGAAGTGCCGGGGGAGCAGCTTATCTTTTGGACACCGGTGCCCAGAACTGTAGTATCTGAACTTGTTGAGCAAAGGCTACACGCAGGGGTAGGCAACCTATGGCACGCATGCCAAAGGCGGCACACGAGCTGATTTTCAGTGGCACTCACACTGCCCGGGTCCTGGCCACCGGTCCGGGGGCTCTGCATTTTAATTTAATGTTAAATGAAGCTTCTTAAACATTTTAAAAGCCTTATTTACTTTACATACAACAATAGTTTAGTTATATATTATAGACTTAGAGAAAGAGACCTTCTAAAAACGTTAAAATGTATTACTGACACGCAAAACCTTAAATTAGAGTGACTAAATGAAGACTCGGCACATCACTTCTGAAAGGTTGCCGACCCCTGGGCTACAGCTTCATCTGCAGAGGGCTGAATGTGGGGGGAGAAGGGAAGAAACAGCTCCAGGAGCATCAGACTCCTGCTTCCCCTCTACCACTTACAGCACCAGAGGGAGACTGACGGTGGTGTTCCACCTGCAGAGCTGGGCCTCAGTTCCACACCAGCTCTGCTGTTTGGCCAATGGGGCCTCCAGACAACCAGCAATTGGCTAAGATTAGCTCGAGTTGCTCCTCTCCCCAGAGCGCTATCTAGCCCGTCATTGGACCAGGTGCAGAGCAAAAGAGTCCGAGCCCCCCATTCAGCCGGCCCAGCTGCAGGGTCCTTCTGCAAGATAATTGCCAGGGTAATATTAAAGCGGCACAAAGCTTGCCCCACTAACCCTCACTGCACCCACAGGAGGTAAGTGTTGCTGCAAAGCACAGATAGGGAGCAGGGGCCACAAACTGGCTGCTTTTTAACCATGAAGGCCTTTGGCTATTCCTCGTACGTAAACCTGCAGTACAGGGACATTCTGCTTTCTGTGGATTCTTTTCCAGAATCAGAGTCAACAGGCTGCCAGACAGTGCAAACCACGTAACTGCTTTGGATCAAGAGGAACTCCTTGATTTCTTAGACCAACCCCTATCATTTATGGCAGCCCATCACAAACCGATGGGGAGACTGTACTATGACACACACTATCATTTGACTATAAAACGTTTATATCATTGCAAATTTGGATAAGAGATGGTCCCTGCCTCAAAGGCTTTACAATATCAGGAGAGGGTGGCCTGATGTCCGGCATTATCTCATGATTCCCCTGCACTCACCTGTCAGTCTGTTTTATCTATCTGTTTTCTCTGTCGTATATTTGGACTGTAAGCTCTTTGGGGGCAGGGACTGTCTCGGTGCTGTGCCTGTACAGCCCCTAGCACAACAGGGTCCTGGTCCAAGATTGATCCATCGATCGAACGTACCTACCTACCTACGTACCTACAAACAATCTATCGTATGGAGGAGGAAGGACAGATTTCCTGAAGAAGTGGGGGAGGACAGGCAGACCATTCCCAGGCACAAAGCTTTCTGTCACTATAGTTCATATTATCCCTTTATGTTTCAGGTGAAAGCCATAACCACACTGCCTGTCTCTCCTTGTGCCACCACCTGCTTTCTAGTAAACTGTACAGGCCAGTGCCTTCAAACCACACAGTATCAAATCTTATTCACAATGAAAGCTCTTCCTCCTTCCTCATCCAGAGAGAGACGTTTCCCAATCCCAAGGCTTTCATAAAAGTGTGGAGAGAAATCATGGGATAATCTTTGCTCCAATGGATTATAAATGGGATACTTGAGCAAGTTGTAACTCTGGCGGAGAGTGCGCACACTTCTGAATTCATTATGAGCCCCTCTATCCTCCAAACTTTCCTGTTTCAGGGGACTGAGTTGTAACATGACAGGGGCCTCAACTGTTAGAATACAGGTTGATCTGGCCTGCGTGCTTGGCACAGAGCTTTATATATTCCTGTGGGAACCAGAGCAACATGTGGCAGATTCTCCGTCATGGGCAATTCATAAATCAAGACTGGATGTTTTTCTAAAAACCATCTGCTTTAGTTCAAGCAGGAATTAATTCAGGGAAGTTCTCTGGCCTGTGTTACACAGGAGATCAGACTACATGACCAAAACGGTCCCTTCTGGCCTTATAATCTAGGACTATTAGCATTTTTCTGCTATTTGAATTTATTCAAGGTAACAAATTAACATGCATCTTGCTGAGATTTGTATGTCCACTCCTGCACATTCTCTCATTCCAGTCCTGGTTCCCCATACACCTCAGACCCAGCAACGCCCCGAACGATCCAGAACCATCTTACAACCTGGCTAAGACGGGAGCCGTAGCAAGTCTGTAAAATGTTTATAGCTTGAGGCCACCACCTCTTCGGAGCAAAGCTCCAGCTACATAGGAATCACGTGGCCTGCTTTTCCACAGGGCTCAAGAAATAAAATAAGCTGCTCATTTCTCTCGTCCTGAAGTTCAAATAGTGAACAATAATAATATGACCCCAAATAGACTATGAAAGCCCCAGTGCAGATTGTTTTGCTCTGATCTTGCTCCCATACAAATGCTCTCTGACTGGACACAGATGTTCTTATTTTACCTTGACATGTAATAGTGGCCTCAGTTGGAAGACTACGGGTGAGATCGCCATAAACCAGCTTTGCTCTGAATGGAAAGGTCTTGCTTTCTGTTTCCACATCATAATTAAAGAACAATAGATTATACAACGAGTTTCTCTGCAAGGTTCCTTCGAGAAAGGCTGAATAATGGTCCTGTAGGGATGAAGACAAACAGAAGCTCTAAATTATGAGAGGGACTCATTGAGAGAGTGGGGCTGGGATTTCTCCCATTTTGCTAAATCTTAAACACACTTAGGTCTGACAGATTTAAGGTTGGAAACGTCTTGTACATACCTCAAACAAAAACCTTGCAGTAAAAACATCAGAGGTGGCACACATTTTTATTTCAAGTCACGAAACCTGAAGTTTAGACTACACAAAACATCTTAAATCTACCGCACCCTGTATCCTGACGCATGGAACATCATCCCCATAACAGATGAAGATCGTGGCATTTGTATTCAGGAGACAGAGTGAACATGGCGGACTGTGATTATAACTGACTGGTTAATAGCAGAGGGCATTTGCTGATAAAAAGATATGAAGATGTTACAATACTGAGTATAGAGGGCAGGTGGGAGGAGGAGAGGAAAATGTCTGTTCTGTGTACAAAAGGTAAGAGGGAAAATATTAGAGAATCGGGACAGTTTGGAGAAGGGGCTATGGAGAGATTAGTGCCCACCATGTAATGGGTGGATGCTTAGCTGGCAGAATACGAGACAGTACGCCGGGGATACATGGCTTGTACTGGAAATCTAGAAAAGGTACAAGTTTGAGTCTCTCAGGGATATAGATGGACTGTATGTTGGATATGGGGTGGAACAGAGTAAAAGTTGTTTGTGGAATCTTGACTCCAAGTTTCCTGACTTGCACATGTTTATTTTTCTAAAGCCAATGAGTTTTGGTTTTTAAAAGGGGTGTATTTCCAAACTGAACTCCATGTTAATGAAGTTTTTTGCTTAGAGAATTACCTTATTCTAAAAACAAATGTATATATTTTAGTGACTCATGCTAACATATTTAAGACATATTTCCATCGGTCTTCAAGTGAGTTCATATTTCATGCTATAATTAGCAATGCAACACCTAAAACTGGAACCTTGAGTGCTCCTCTGTAAGACCTACGGCTTAACAGCTTCCTATGCAGATACTGACACAAACAATTCTCTGCGCAATTTTCATTGCATAAAAATACCATGCAAGCTCTGATGCCCACAGGCTTTTAGGATATTTACAGCCTAACACAGTTTCTAAGATTTAAACAAAAGAGATTATTGTGTGTGTTTAACTCCCCACCACCACCATGCATACCTGGAATGCAAAACTTGCTTAACATATGTCTTCAAAGAGCTTAAATGTTAACTTATTAACCCTCTTAACTCCCTGTCACGTCCTGCATTTTACTGATGTGGAAACCTAAGTAGGTCATTAAAGCGTTCTACTTAAGCGCATACCCAATGACTCTGTCACAACTGGAATTAGAACTCACAGATCCCTGGTTCTCAAGCCACACAATCTTGTGTCCTTCCTACCTCATATTTACTGTAACTTCACCCACTCCCCCAAATATATATGGCTAGAGAACCCTCCCATATCATTTATCTCCCTTTTGGTACATACAAGGATCAAGAATAGATTAATGTGGTTGTTGGGGCCATCGGTACCTGTAACTGATCTGCCTGGTATTTCCTTCCAGCATAAGCATTCAGGTGATCAGACAACATAGTCAGGAAGCATCTGATGTCGGACTGCAAGTACTTCTTGGCTATTTGCTCCAAGGGGATGAAGATGGGGACAGAGTGGTGACGAATCTGGACTGGTTGCTGTATGAGGAGGTCCAGGTAGTAGGAGTCCAGGTAGGTGCCTTCATAAGCAGTGCTGATGCAGAAACAGACTCCTTGTTTGGTCAATTTCCCACTAATCCCTTGGGTACAAAAAGGGGTCTTTATTCAGCACCATTCTAGAACACTATTGTAAGAAAGCTTTGCTAAGGGGGCATGGACAGCTAACTGTGTTGTTCTACATATGGAACACACGACATACATTTAGTCATTAGACAGGGCTCCTAAGAGGATTAAAGATTTGGAAGAATTAAGAGGCATGAACCCTGGCATCATTTTTTATAACCTTCCCCTCAATCTTCTAGTGGGTTCAGGATTTTGTGACCAGTACTCTAGGTTCCCAACTACTTCCACTAAGTTTCTGTGCTGGGTCTTGGTATGTTTCTGCTCACCTTCCACACAGGTGCATGCACTCTAGCCTGCTATGGAGCTTGGACTACTCCAAACCAGTCTTACCATCACGAGAAGCCCAAACTCAATGTTGACTTAAAGAACGCACAATTGAGTAGAGGAAGGCAGCATGCTCTGCCTGGCATAGCCAAGGTCCAAGACTCATTAAACTGATACACGCAGTCGTCCAAAAAGGTTGGGAAACGCTCCCCTAATCAGCTCATCTGCATCGTGGCAAGATTGGTTTAATTACACTTCAATTAGAGAAACTGGAAATTGTGGTGAAAGTGATGCACATGAAAAGTAATTTGAACAGGCTCAGAGACATTAGAAACAGTACCCTGCCCTTAGGGAAGGCTCAGCCAATGAGAATTTGTTCTGAACACAGTGTGTTAACCCAGTATCCTGGACAACTCTAGTGGTGGATGGAGAATCCGAGGAAACAGACAAAGGGAATCAACCCTAGATGAATTAATCTCTTTCAAACTCCATTATTTTTCCTAGCACCTCAACCCTCTTAATGACTTATTTAAGAGCACAATAGAAGCACTTTGACTAGAAAACCATCAGCTAGATATCAAGTTCATCTTTCAAAATGAGAACCCTATAAAACCAGTGGCTGGGATCAAGGACCCCTACCAGCCCCACACACAGGCACTAGTCAGAGCCTGCACAGCTCTCAGGGCTTTACCCGTCAGACGAAAGGCTTGCAGCATGGCCTTGACATTTTCCACTTTCCATTTTAGAAGCGCTTGCCCTCCGGTCTCCGCTGCTTGGACGGGCTCCACATTACTGCCGGTGGCTCCTTCCTGCCTGATGAGCTATAAAAGACAAGACATGAAAGAAAAGCAGCTCAGAAGTCACTGAAACAGCAAGTATTCGCTGGACGAAGGGTGGCCCAGGCTGCTGCTGGGGAGTTGCTCTGCTCAGAGCAGGGCAAGACAGATTGCTTGGAATACGGTTTTGTGACAGGAGAAGAAAAAAGTTCTAGGATAGGGGCACAACAGTTTATTTATAAGTAGCGGGGCATGGCAGTGCTGCACCTCCTCTGTGAACAGGACTTCAGTCTTGAGTTTTCTCAAGCCAGCACCATGAAGTTATTTAAAAAAAAAAAAAATGTGACAGGAAAGGACAGCAGCTAGTTGTATTAGAGAAATAATATAAATACGTCAATCACACAGTCTGGAAGGACAGAAGCCGGTCTGGGACCTTCTGCCACTTGTATGTGACAAGCACCTAATTCTTACCCCAACTTGCTGCAGATTCACTTTGGCCTGGAGCTCATCTCTTTGGAGTCTCAGCTCCTGGATTCTGGCTCTCAGCCTGACCAAATTCTCCTGCTGCCGTTGAGTTTCTTCTTGCTTCAGTGCTAGTTTCCGTGCATGAGCTTCTAGCTTTTCCAGATGGGATAGGACCCCTCCAGGAAAGGAACAAACAGATAAATCCAGTCTGCAATTATTTATTTCTATTTAGCCTGGGCAAGATTTAAAAATCTATAGAGGTCAGTTATTTCAGCTGACACACCACAAAAAATGGTGGCACCAGCCCTGGGGATATGCAGGGAGTCCTCTGTAGCCCCGCTGTCTAAACCCAGCTCCTTCACTCCCATGACAGCATGGCCTCAGGTCTGGTGACACCCAATCCCTGCAGGGACAAGGTGCAGTGAAGGCTGTGGTCCAAGCCCAGCGGAGCAGAGATCCCTGGCCAGGACTGCGATGAAGAGGTAAAGCCCCCAGCTGTTGGGGGAGACCACCCCACTGCTGAATGGTTCCAACCCCGGACAGAAGCCATTCAGCAACAGAATGGCCTCCCTCATGGCTGGGGGCTCGTCCTCCTCCTTGTAGTCCTGGCCGGGGGCCACTGTTCCACTGGGCCAGGACTGCAGCCTTCTTTGCGCCACAGTGTCTTGGACCCCTCAGCAGCCCCCCATCAGTGCTACCCTAGCCCTACTCCCCCACCTTAATTTCCAGCAAATGTTTAAAAAACAAAAGTGATACTAATTGATGATAAAAATCTTAAAAATAAAAATCTATATTAACTGTCAAAATTGGGGCAGGGGTTGGATTCTGCCAAGCCTATTTATATTATAGTAGCACCCAGACCATGCTAGGCACTGTACTGATACACGAAGAGAGACCCTAATCACTACATACTTACATAGGTTAGGGGAAAGAGAAATAACCTACAGTTAAGGGGCTTTTTGCTCTCTCTCTCTCGAGAGAGAATCATATATCTATATATATATCTATGATTGAGTCCTAATTGTCCCTTGATGTAGCCATTGCTAGCTGGGTAATTTCTTGAGGCAATGTAGGCTAGTGCAGTGGTTTTCAAACTTTTTTTCTGGCGACTCAGTTCAAGAAAACTGTTGATGCCCGCGACCCAATGGAACTGGGGATGAGGGGTTTGAGGGTGTGGGAGGGGCTCAGGGCTGGGGCAGAGGGTTGAGGTGCGGGAGTGAGGGCTGCAGAGTGGGGCCAGGAATGAGGGGCTCTGGGCTGGGGGTGCAGGCTCTGGGCTGGGGCCAGGGATGAGGGGCTTGGGTTGCAGGAGGGGGCTCAGGGCTGGGATGCAGGAGGGGGTCAAGGCTCTGGATGCAGGCTCTGGGGTGGGGCCAGGGATGAGGAGTTTGGGGTACAGGAAGGGGCTCAGGGCTGGGACAGGGGATTGGGGCCCGGGGTTACCTTGGCCAGCTCCCAGTCAGCAGTGCAGCAGGAGTGCTAAGGCAGACTTCCTGCCTTTCCTGGCACCGCGGCCGTGCTGCGCCCCGGAAGTGGCTAGCAGCATGTCTGGCTCCTAGGTGGAGGTGCACGCAAGTGGCTCCATACAGCTCTCACCCGCCGGATCTGCTGCTGGCTGCTTCTGGGGCGCAGCGCGGTGTCAGAACAGGTAGGAACTAGCCTGCCTTAGCCGGGCAGCACCGCCAATGGCCCAGTCGGCAGTGCTGACCAGAGCTGCCACGACTCAGTACTGGGTTGCGACCCACAACTTGAAAACCACTGGGCTAGTGGATAGTGCACTGAACTGGACCTCAGGAAACACAGGCTCCCAGATCTACTGGGTGACTTTGGGCAAGTCACTTTCACACCTGTCTCAGCTCTCCTACCTGTAAAATACGAATAATGATCTTTACCTCCTTTGCAAAGTACTTGGAGATCTCCAGATGAAGAGTGCTACACAAGAGCTAGATTTTATTATTATGGCAGAAATGGATCTCAAGGAGTGATTTTGAATGAGGAGAGTATCACTTTCACCAAGCTGGAGAGCACTTTACACTTAAGACCCATAGTTTCTGCAGGTCATCGCTCCACATTAAAGGTGAAGGCATCTGCGGTCTGTTCTCTAGCAACTTACCATCTCTCAGGTAAGCGGTCGCCTCTTCCATTGTCACCTCTAGTTCTTAGGCAATGGCAAGAGTGCTTGGTGTGGAATGAAGGATCTTCGTGGTAGGTACTTGCCCCATGGAATTACGCCACCAAGGCACTAGGGGTTTTGCCACCGCAAGCTTATTTGTGCTGAAAAGAAGATCACTCTTTTACACTCTAGGGTTATCTACTGAAAGAATTAGACAATACAATGATTCCAGCCCATGAAAATCCCTGCACCTGGGCTTTTCTGTGGCTGGGACCAAGGATGCCTCTCCCAGGGCATTGGGTATGGGTGCGGACTGTAAGGCACTAGCAGGAGCACAGAGACCATGTCTCCAAGTTGATTTCTGAAGGTGCACATGGTATAAAACAATGTTAATCTATTTTCATGAGGTGTCCCATTGACTCTTCCTGCTGCTCAGACAAGGAAGGGTTAGGGGGAGGCATATGCAGAGAAGCCACTTTCACAAACACCTGGTGCAGGAAAATGCCTCAGAGCAGCCTTCACTGGAGTGATCTTGTTAAAGCAAGTGGGCGTTGGACCCTGGCGAAGATGAGGACACAGGACTCCTGGGTTCTGATCTCTGCCCTGGGGGACCCTGGTTCTATTCCTTGTTCAGGGAGGGGCTCTGGTGTTGGGGCGGGGGAACAGGACTCCTGGGTTGTGGTGACTGGTGGGCGGGGGTCAGGACTCCTGGGTTCTGGTATTGGGGGGCGGGGGTCAGCACTCCTGGGAGGAGGGGCTCTGGTGTTGGTGGGCGGGGCTAGGACTCCTGGGTCCTGGCGGGTGGGCGGGGCTGGGACTCCTGGGTTCTGGCGGGGGAGGGGGGGCAGGACTCCTGGGTTCTGGCGGGGGAGGGCGCGCTCTGGTGTTGGTGGGCGGGGCTGGGACTCCTGGGTTCTGGCGGGGGGTGAGGGAGGGGGGAAGGGGCTCTGGTGGCCGGACTCCCGGTGGGCGGCGGGGACTGAGCCCGGGCCGGACCCCGCTCTGGGGACGGGGACACTGGCGCTGACCCTCCTACAGCGGCTTCAGGACTCACCCGCGAGCACCATGGAAACCAGCTACGGGTCCCGCGCTCAAACCTCCCGCGCACCGACTCTAGGGGAAATACGTCACGAGACGTCCTTTATTATCTTTCCCAGCATACCCCGCGGCACGCTTGTCCGAGAATGAGGCGGAGACGCCCAGCCCAGGGTTTATTTCCGGCATGCCCGCGGTCTCGTTCCCCGGTTACCGTACGACAAGATGGCGGCGCCCGCGTTGCTGTCTCAACATAGCGTACGTGTTGAGTGAGTTCGTACTGAAAGATGGCGGTGAGCAAACCCTTTTCCCGGCATGCTCCGCGTAACCGTCATCCCGATTCCGTACGATAAGATGGCGGCGCCTGACTTATTTTCCCAGCATGCCGTGCGCGATGATTCCGTGCGGCAAGGTGGCCGTGACTGTGACCCTTTCCCGGCATGCTCCGCGCCTCTCCTTCCCGGACGTGTCCGTACACTAAGATGGCCTCGCCCGGCAGTAGCTCAGCGCGAGCGCTGGTGCAGTACGTGGTGCTGCGGGGGGACCTGCAGCGGGAGCCGCTCTCGTGGCCGCTGGGGGCCCTGGTGGCTCAGGCCTGCCACGCGGCCCTGGCGGTGGTGCATGCGTACTACGGGCAGGCGGACACCGGGGCCTACCTGGCTGAGGGGGGCAGCATGAGGACCGTGGTGCTGGAGGTGAGCGGGGCCGGCGGTGGGGTCCATGGGACACGATATGGCCCGCGGGCGTTGGGGCCGGGCGGAAGCGGGTGGCCGGGGCCCCTGGGCAGAGCAGGGTGCCAGCAGTGCCCCTAGTGGGGAGAAGGAGAAGTGGGGGTAAGGGGCCCATGGTGGGGAGTGGGGCTGAGGCCCAGGCCTATGGGGAGAGGGGTCCCAAGAGGGCCTTGGTGGGGACCCAGCAGCATGAGGCCCACACGCGTGGGAGACGTCGGAGGGCAGGTTTGTGCAGAGCTGGGCGCTCTGGGTATAACGCAGGGGAAGGGAACAGCCCCTGGGGTGCCTGGCTTCATCTAGCGCCAAGCAGTAGGTCAGTGCTGCATTTCTCATTCCTCTACGTGAGGGCAAAGCCTGGGACGGGGCGAGGGCTGCTCCCCTTGTGTGTGTTCCGGGCCCTAAAGCCATGTCCTGTCAGAAGGAAGAGGTGCCAGCCTTGAATGTCTGTGAAGTGAACCAGGAAAATGTCCTGCGGAGCATCCTGGCATGGATGCAGGTGCCTGCATAGGTCCATGGCTCTGCAAAGCATCAGGCTTTACTTCCAGCACTGTCAAAGCACAGGACATTTGGCAGCCCCTGCTTTAGGAACGGCAGATAGGGCTGCAGAAAAGTAGGCCAAGCAGAGCAAAGCCAGAGCATCTGGTCACCCTGCAGGTTCTATTTTGATCCAAATGCTCAGTTGCTCATGGAGACAAAGGTTCCAGCAGATGATGCTCCAGAATTCAAATGACTTGTGGAGTCTACAAGTCCCATCTGTCAATTAGATTAAAGAAACTCCATTGGCATAAAGAAAGAAGTAATTGTCAGGACAGTTAAATCTGATACAGGCAAGTATCTGTCCAGTGGGGCATTGCAGTACTGGAATTTCTATACCATCTGCCGGGTATTGTTTACTTCTAAACTGTGAGATGAGGGAGTGGCAGATTGTGACACCTTAGAAAGCTGTGTCTATCTGACACTTCAGCATACAATGCTTTCCCTCGGTCTGAACATTCAGAACACAAGTAACAGCATGTGTAACAATCCCCACCACAAGTCCTTAGCACGTTGTTTGAGTTATTGAAATAGTTTTGTTGCTCAGTAATAGTTGAAGGCTGCTGTTTATGTAGACTAGCGGAGGGGAGGGATAGCTCAGTGGTTTGAGCATTGGCCTGCTAACCCTGGGGTTGTGAGTTCAATCCTTGAGGGGGCCACTTAGGGATCTGGGGCAAAATCAGTACTTGGTCCTGCTAGTGAAGGCAGGGGGCTGGACTCAATGACCTTTCAGGATTCCTTCCAGCTCTGTGAGATAGGATATCTCCATATATTGAAAGGGACACTACACGCACTTCTCAAGCAACTTGCACGTGAGTGGCCTTGCAGTGTAGATAGAATGTGGCATTGTGGAACTCATAGATTCTAGGACTGGAAGGGACCTCGAGAGGTCATCGAGTCCAGTCCCCTGCCCTCATGGCAGGACCAAATACTATCTAGACCATCCCTGATAGACATTTATCTAACCTACTCTTAAATATCTCCAGAGATGGAGATTCCACAACCTCCCTAGGCAATTTATTCCAGTGTTTAACCACCCTGACAGTTAGGAACTTTTTCCTAATGTCCAACCTAAACCTCCCTTGCTGCAGTTTAAGCCCATTGCTTCTTGTTCTATCCTTAGAGGCTAAGGTGAACAAGTTTTCTCCCTCCTCCTTATGACACCCTTTTAGATACCTGAAAACTGTTATGTCCCCTCTCAGTCTTCTCTTTTCCAAACTAAACAAACCCATTTTTTTCCGCCTTCCTTCATAGGTCATGTTCTCAAGACCTTTAATCATTCTTGTTGCTCTTCTCTGGACCCTTTCCAATTTCTCCACATCTTTCTTGAAATGCGGTGCCCAGAACTGGACACAGTACTCCAGTTGAGGCCTAACCAGCGCAGAGTAGAGCGGAAGAATGACTTCTCGTGTCTTGCTCACAACACACCTGTTAATCCCATCTCAAATCCAAGTAGTCCTACTAAACCTCCCTCCCGGCTCTTGGCCTATTCATATGTATGAGCATAACATGAATACTTCAGGGGGAAATTACCTAGTCTTTAGCAATCTTTGTCTCTACCAAAGGCAGTGTGGTCGGTGGCTATAGCATGGGACTGAAAGTCAGAAAATCTGGGATCTGTTCTGCCAGCTACACCACACACTTCCTGTGTGACCTTTCTCTGCTTCATTTCCTCATCTGTAAAATGGGGATAATGATGAAAAGTGCTGTATGATGGCAAGGTTTTATTGTTTACCTTGTAGTAGAAGTAGAATATCTGTCTATGCTATTCTTGGTATTAGCTAGTGGTATCCGTCCCTCATTCCATATAAACTAGCCTCATACCGAAGAAAAGCATAGTTGTGAGGCTGAGTCACAACTATTAAAAACTATCCTTCCCTGTTGTTCCTACAGTCTGTTGTAATAAGTCCTCATCTCTTCCCCCTAACATGTCTATTTCAGCAGCTGCATTTGCTGCCAGAACTGAGGCTTGGTTAGCCTATTGGCAGTGAAAGATCAGTAGGTGGCAATAGTTCTTTTCAAAACCAACTTGTTGCAGCTTTGAGACCCTTATTTGGGAACTGTCTGCATAGGGAGTTGCTTTTGTTCTGCAGTTGTGTCTGTATTCTGGTATAGCCCAACTGAAGTAATGCATGGGAGAAGTTCATTGTTCAATCTGCAGGTGTGTGTGTTTCATCTCTAAAACTGCTCCTGTTGGTACTTGTCTGGCTTCAAGTCTTGGTTTTCATACTCACTGCTGAAAGGGCACGCTGATATTTTGTTAGCCTTGAGTTATGAGATGGTCTGATGTCACAGTAAGACTTTTTCAATGTTCTAGAGAAAATGCCAGCCCAGCACTGTGCAGCCAACCTAAAATGAAAAACCAGCCCTTGAGAGCTATCCTACAATGATATGGTACCATCTACTACTTTGCAAGCAGTCAGGAAAATGAAACCTAGCCCCAAAGAACGTCCACTCTAAACTAGATGGATAATGCAAGGAAGAGGCTACAAATCAGGGAGAGGGCAGGGAGGGAAACCAGGAGATATACTGTAAAGGAAGCAGCAGCAAGGTTTGGCAAGAGCCTGGATGTGTGGAGAGAGGTACTGAGGATGCAAATCTGGGTGACCAAGAGGAGGTTTGAGTACTCAACTGTGTGAGAGTGAGATGGGAGAAAGAGGGCTGAGAGGGAAGAATGGCAGCTCAGGTTTGATAGAATACTGACATCTGGGGGGTGATGTTGCGGAGGCAGGGGCGAGGGTAAGGGAGGAATTTCCCATGAAACAGATTTGTATTCCGCATCCAAGGGGTTATCACACATGGATGTGAGTGGTGTTAAACTGCTCCCTTGCAGTGCCCTCCCCGGTAACATCTGACCTCAA